CATTCTTGGAACTTTTTTTTAAACATTTAAAAAATATATTTATTTTTTAGTTGTAGTTGGACTCAGTACCTTTATTTTATTTATTTATTTTCATGTGGTGCTGAGGAGTGAATCCAGGGTTTCACATGTGCTAGGCAAGCGCTCTGCCACTGAGCCACAACCCCAGCCCAGAAATTTTTTTTAAACAGCCTTTATTGAGGTATAATTTACTTTTCATAAAACTCGACCTTTGTAATATTTTAGTAGATTTGTAGAATTGTGCAACCATTGCCACAATCCAGTTTTAGAACACTTTCATTACTGGAAGAGGTTCCTTTGTTCACAGTTACAAATTAATCATCACTCTCAACTTTAGTCCTAGGCAACCAATGATTTGCTTTTTGTATCTGTAAATTTGCCTTTTATTTTTCTATACATTGTATATAAATGGACTGATGCAGTATATAGTCTTTTGCATCTGGCTATGGGCTGTTGAGGTCATCATTGCTAGAGCATGTATCAGTGGTTCATTTCTTCTAATTGCAAAATGGCATCCCATTATGTAGATATACCACATTTTGTTTATCCAATTCCCTGGACATCTGGATAGTTTCCAGTATTAGCTGTTATGAATAATACTGCTGTGAACATGCACATACATGTCTTTGGGTGGATTTATATTTTCATTTCTCCTGTGTGCAGTTTCTCCATATCCTAACCAATGCTTGGTATTGTCTGACTTTTTGATTACAGACGGTCCCTGACTTAATGATGGTTCGACTTATGAGCTTTCAACTTTACAATGATGTGCTAGCAATACATTTTCAGTAGAAACCATTCATCGAATTTTGAATTTCAATCTGTTCCCTGGCTGGCGATATGCGGTACAATACTCTCACTCAGTGGTGGGCAGCAGCTGCCAGCTATAGCTCCCAGACAGCCACGTGATCACAAGGGTAAACTTTGCAGTGTACTGTGTTGCCAACACTTTTTGGATTTTGTGTTTTGTGTTTTTGCATCCCATCATGTCTACAAAACGCCCATCTGTGTCTCCTGCTTCTGGTGAAAAGAAGAGGAGGAAGGCAATTACTCTTGAGATGAAACTCAAAATAATTGCTCAGCATGAAGGTGGCAAGCCAGTAATGGTCATTGCACGGGAGTCAGGACTGTCACAGTCCACGATCTCAACCATCTTAAAGGATAAGAAACGAATCAGCGATGCAGTGAAATCGTCAGCATCAGTTAAGTCCACTGTCATTACAAAGAAAAGAGCTGGGCCAATTGATGATATGGAAAAATTACTTGTTGAGTGGATAGATGAGCAGATACGAAAGCGTGCACCACTTAGTCTCCTGATGATCCAGGCTAAGGCAAGAAGTCTTTTCAATATGCTGAAAGAACATGCTGATCCTACATACACACAGATGTTTACTGCAAGTCATGGGTGGTTCCAGCGCTTCAAAAGGCGTCATAATTTTCACACTGTGAAGGTCAGTGGTGAGGCAGCAAGTGCTGATATTGAATGTGCTGAAGCTTTTAAGGAAGAGTTGCATAGGATAATTGTGGATCAGAAATATTTACCAGAACAGATATTTAATGTTGATGAAACAAGCTTGTTCTGGAAGCGTCTGCCTGAGCATACATACGTTCCTCAAGAGTACAAGACAATACCAGGATTCAGAGACCATGTAACTGTGCTTTTGGGTGGAAATGTTTCAGGATTCAAATTAAAGCCTTTCCTCATCTACCACTCAGAGAACCCTAGAGCATTTAAGAATGTGAGCAAGCATACACTTCCTGTTTATTATCGCCATAATAAGAAAGCCTGGATGACTTCAGTGTTGTTTGAAGACTGGTTTTTGAACTGTTTTATTCCTCAGGCAAGAGAATATTGTAGGCAAAACAATATCCCATTCAGGATTCTTCTGATCTTAGATGACGCTCCAGGGCATCCACAACATATTGGAGCCATGCATCCTGATGTAAAGGTGGTTTATTTGCCACTCAACACAACCACACTCATTCAACCAATGGACCAAGGTGCAATAGCTGCCTTCAAAGCACACTATTTACGCCAGACATTTGCTCAGGCTGTTGAAGCAACTGAATCTGGCCAAACACTCCAGGAATTTTGGAAAGGTTTTAACATTCTAAATGCTATCCAGAACATTGCTGCAGCATGGGAAGAAGTCACACAACAGTGCATGAACTGCATTTGGAAGAAAGTTTTGAAGACATATGTGAACACATTCAAAGGTTTTAACAAAGGACCTGCTGTTGATGATATGGTAAGTAACAACATATTAACTCTTGGGAAGCAATTAAAATTAGACATCCATGAAGACGATATTCATGAAATTGTCAGCATTAAAACTGAAGAGATTTCCAATGAGGAGCTGATTGAACCAGAGAAGGAAAGAAGTAAAGAAGTTAAAGCAGAGGAAGAAATTATATGGAAGGCACCAAGAAAGTTCACAGCAAAGAAACTGGCAGAGGCATTTGCTACTATCAGCAGCGGTATGCGGATGTTAGAAGAAATGGACAGCAATTACGAGAGATATGCAAGAGCTGACAGGCAGATTCAAGATGCTCTTGCTTGCTATAGAGAAATATATAATGAAGAAAAGAAACTGACTGTACAGTCAAAACTTGATATCTTTCTGAAAAACACTATGCCTGCTAAACCGTCAACAAGTGTCAGTGCCTCAGTGCCTTCCACCAGTTATTCTCAAGTCTTGTTAGAAGAGAGAGGAGTCAGTACTCTTGTCGCTGTAGCATCCACATCATCCAGCAGTTAATTTTGGTTCAATGCATCAAACATTCTTCAGGGCCAGTGTGTTTTCATCTGTGTACATTAATGGTGAGTACTGCATAACTACTCTGTTTCACACTTTCAGTGTACTGTTCCATAATTACAAGAGATATTCAATGCTTTATTTATAAAATAGGTTTTATGTTAGATGATTTTGCCCAACTGTTTGCTAATGCAAGTGTTCTGAGCACATTTCAGACTGACAAGGCAAAGCTACAGTGTTCATTGGATTACTGTATTAAATGCATTTTTGACTCACAATATATTTAGATTAAAATAGGTCTATCTGGGTATAACCCTGCTGTTGAGGAGCATCTGTGTAGCTGATAGGAGTGGTGATATCTCTTTGTAATTTTAATTTGCATTTTCCTAAAGACTAATGGGGTTGAGCATCTTTTCATGTGCTTAATTAATCATTCCTTTATTTTTTGTGATACATTCAAATTTTTACCCATTTTTTTTTTTTTGCTGGGGGGTGGATCTGTTTTACAAATTGGATTCTTGGTCTTACAGAATTGTAAGCATTTTTTTTTGTGTTCTAGTAACAAGAATACAAATACTTTATCATATGTGATTTGCAAATATCTTCTGGTTTATAGCTTGTCTTTTAAAATAGATTTTCTATTTTAGAGTAGTGGTAAGTTCATAGCAAAGTTGAACACAAAGTACAGAGCTGCCATATATCTCCTTCCCCCATTCAAGCACAACAAAGTTGAACACTAAGTACAGAGCTGCCACATATCTCCTTCCCCCATTCAAGCACAGCCGTCAACACCCTGAACCACACTGATACATTTATTTTAGTTGATGATATTAACATGTCATTATACTTCCTGGTGTTTTTTGAAGTGTGAAAGTCTGTGGTTTTGATGATATGTGAATTTTTATTTTATGGTTTGTGCTTGTGATATATCAGAACTTTTTGCTCAATCTAATGTTTAAATTTTCTCCTATTTTCTTTTTCTTTTTGAAAAATTCTAATAATTGCCATCTTAACCATTTTTAAGCATATAGTTCATGCTAGGTGTAGTGAAGTTATGATCACAAGTTCCAGGCCAGCCTGAGCAATTTAGACCCTGTTTAAAAAACAAACAAACAAAAAAAGGACTAGGAATATAGTTCAGTAGTAAAGTGTTTTTGGGTTCAGTCCTCAGCACCAGGAAAACAAAAAACACATTCATAATGTTGTGCAACTATCACCACCATCTATCTCTGTAACTCTCTCTTACCCATTAAACAGTAACTCCTAATTCTCCTCCCCCTGCTCCAGGTAAACACTATTCTTCTTTCTTTCCTTTTTAAGGAAATAATATGAATTTAAATAGTATGAATTTCTTTCCTTTTTAAGGAAATAATATTCCATTATATGTATACTATATCATGCTTGTCTAGTCATCTGTCTGTGGACACTTGGGTGGCTTATTTTAACTGGGGAATAATGTGTTACATTGGTGTAATAGGACCCTGCTTCAGTTCTTTTGGATATGTATAAGCAGAAGTGGAATTGCTGGATCATATGGCACCTCTGTTTTTGATATTTGATCAGCCACCATACTGTTTTGTACTGTGCACTGTTTTACAGTCCCACAAACACTGCACAAGGCGTCTGTTTTCTCCGTGTCTTTAATACTTCCTGTTTTCAGTGTAATAATTAATTTTTTGGACATAATTGCTCCACTTGAAAAAAAATCATATATGCTTCTTATTCTACTTCATTGTCTAACCAGGTGTCTTAGCAGATGTTAAGAAGAAAGCAGTCTGTATTAATTCATACTAATATGAGACTAACTAATAGTCCTTTAGCCTTCTCAGGAGAATAGGTGTTTTAAATGAATTTATAAACCAATTCTCTTAATAGGTGGAATTTCCGCTGAACAAAATGAGGAGTAATCGATTTAAGGAATCTGAGGAAAATATTTGAAATCAGGCAAGCTGTTTTTGCTTCGGAGCTCTTATTTCCACTTATTACTCTATGGTTCTTGCTTCTGGATGCAGGTTCTATTAAACACTCCTGATAACTTGCTGAGTATGTGAAATCGTTAGATAAGGAAGCAGAGGCTAATATTTAATGGTTTGCCTAAAGTCTCACTGCTGGTTAATGGTTAACATTCTTTTCCAATGAAGGTCATTTGGGGTTCTTATTGAAATTTCTTTTAAGTAGTATTCACAAATGTATTCATCCATATTCAAGACATTCTTGTATTCACAGGTTGTACTGCTGTGATCATCACCTCCCAAAGATGCATCCTGACTTATCTTCGCACTTGCACACTGAAGAATGCAACATCTTGATTAACTTGCTTAAGGAATGTCACAAAAATGTAAGAGTTCAGAAAAATGACCATAAAATACAAAGAAACTTAGGTACAACACACTAATGTAAAATGTTATCTCCCTTAATGGAAAGAGATGATAATGTCTTAGTAGTGGATGTGAGCTTAGTAAACATTAGCAAATGATGTAAAATTTTTCGTTTAAAGAAACCACCTCCTTTTATGATTAGTAAAAATAAAGCCATGATAGTTTGTTTAGAGAACTTCTGAAACAGTATGTAGTAGTTGGAAACTGTGTTCTTACAGTGAAATATCTTTCCCATTCTTAATAATAGAACAGTTCAGCTCTGACTCTTTTGATCATGAAGGAGTTATTCTAAGATTATCTGTTTCTTAATGGCTACCATTCTCTGTTTTATGGTAATTGAAACATTTTATATAATTAAATGTTAGTTACATTTAATTTATGATCAGCCTAATCTGTTGGATTTAATTGTTAGTGAAATGGAAGCAATTCAATGGTTAGACCTAAATAGAGGGCTGGGGATTATAGTCCAATGTTACAGTGCTTTGCCTAGGATGTATAAGGCCCTGGGTTCAATCCCCAGTACTGCAAAAAAAGAGGAAAAAAAAAAAAGGAAGAAAAGGAACCCATACTTAGAATGTATTAAGTCAAGCTGACATTTTTATAGATATTGAATATTTAGCTTTTCCTCCTACATTTGATGCATGACATAGTTGTAGGAAATATTTGTGTTTTACTTCACATGGTGAATTAGTTTCTTTTCTCATGATACTTATAAACTTTCAATGTATCTCATTTAATAATAATACTTAAATGAATAAAATTTAAAGACCAAAAGTCAGGTACTAAGAAATACTTAGCCTGTGAAGTCATATTTTTACTTGATGACAGTATACTTTAGGTAAACCATTTTCACCATACTTTTATTTATTTATTTTTTTAGAGAGAGCGAGAGAATTTTTTAATATTTATTATTTTAATTTTCGGCAGACACAACATCTTTGTTTTATGTGGTGCTGAGGATCGAACCCAGGCCGAATGCATGCCAGGCGAGCGCGCTACCACTTGAGCCACATCCCCTTCACCATACTTTTAAATCAAGTCTCGGGAACTGCCCCACTATTCCTGAATTGACTCAGCTGATATTTGAGCTAGACTGCATAACTGAAACACAACTTCTGATTTTATTTTTTATTTATTTTTTTGATAGTAGGCATTGAACCCACGATGCTTTATCACTGAGCCATATCCTCAGCCCTTTTGAATTTTTATTTTGAGACAGGCTCTCACTAAGTTGCTTAGGACTTCATTAAGTTGCTGAGGCTGACCTCAAAATTGCAGTCCTCTTGCTTTAGCATTCTGAATCACTGGGATTACAGGCATGGGCCACTGTGCCTAGCACAACTTCTGATTTTTTAAGTAAAAATATAAAATGTTAACTTTTTAAAAAAACAGGAACTGATTATTTATATTGACTCAATATAGAATGTTTCAACTCTGTATGTAGTGAGTTATAGTAAAAGGAAAACAGGGAGTGTCCACTACCAGAAAGAAGCTTTGGAGAGAAAGAGATTTTGTAGGGTAATATGTTAGTCTTATCCTTAATGATTTTGCCAATTTAACCTTTAGAAGTGTGTTGTGTTTTCATAACATTATGCATATGTGAAGAAATGCTGTTTTTTCATATTTACTTCCTAGGTTAACCAGATTAAGGGCTTCAGTTTTTCAGTCCTTGATTTTTAAATATTCTTTGTTACATGTTATTTGCATACTGCTCTTTGGTCCATGATTTTTTTGCTGCTGTTGTTTAATTTTTATTTTTGTAGCTGTAGATGGACAGCATGCTTTTATTTCATTTGTTATGTGGTGCTAAGGGTGCAACCCAGTGCTTCACATGGGCTAGGCAAGCACTTTACCACTGAGCCACAACCCCAATTTTTTCGGTGGTGCTAGGGATTGAACCCAGGTCCTTGTGCATGTTAGACAAGCACTCTACCAACTGAGCTATACCCCTAGCCTGGTCCATGATTTTTTAAAGAGGAATCAAATATTACATTTTTTTCATTTCAAAAGGATTTCTTATAATGAAGGGGATATTTCAGATCATTGGAACTAAAGATAGACTTTTGAAGAATTAACTTTTGAAGTATAATTTCATACAGTAAAACAGCTATTTAAATGTACAGTTTGATTTTTGACCAACATAAACACCCATGCAATCATTGTCACAGTTGAGGTAAACAACATTTCTTTCGTATTAGAGTTCCCTGTGTGGCTTTGCAGTCCCCATTTCTCACCTTGGCCCAAGTAACCCCTGAACTACTTTTTGTTGATGTAGATTAGTTTTGCTATTCCAGAATTTGTTATAAATGTACTCTACATTGTATGTTTTTATGTATTGTTCCATATTTTTTGAAGCTAATAGAGTTTGTTGGATATGTCATTAATTCATTCATTTTTATTTCTAAGTGGTATTCCATTGTATGAATATGCCAGTTTGCCTGCCTATTGATGGATATTTAGGTTGTTTGCAGTTATGCTGTTTTGAATAAAGCTGCTATGAACATTTGTATACAAGTATTTGTGTGGATATCTTTTTATTTCACTTGGGTAAATCCCTGGAAGTGGAATGACTAGGTGGTGTGGTAAGTAAGTGTTTATAAGAAACTGCCAGACTTTTCCATTCAGTACTATTTTATGTTTCTACCTGCACCCTATTTTCTTTTCTTTTTTAAGAGAGAGAGAGAGAGAATTTTTAAAAAATATTTATTTCCTTTAGTTTTCGGCGGACACAACATCTTTGTATGTGGTGCCGAGGATCAAACCCAGGCCGCCCGCATGCCAGGCGAGCGTGCTACCGCTTGAGCCACATCCCCAGACCCCTGCACCCTATTTTCACCAGCACTTAATATTGTAAAAATTTTTCACTTTCTCCAACCTGTAGGTATTATAGTAGTGTTTCCTGTTGGTTTTAGATTGTATTTCCCTGGTGGCTAGTGATTTTGAGCATCTTTTCATGTACTTATTGGCCACTCATATAAAATCTTTTGCCCATATTTAAAAATTTGTGTTATGATTGATTGGGCATGTAAGGCCTTTAATAAGTTTATTGTAAATATTTTTTCCCAGTACAGCGTTCATGTATATCCCACACCTACTATCTCCTATGAACACATTAGGAAGGTACGTTTATTGTGGTTAATGAACTAATAGATACATGATCATTAATTAAAGTCGTGCTTTGTTCAGATTTCTCAGGTTAGGTGTTCTCCTGATTTCCTGTTACAGGATTTCCTCAGGACACCAGGTTGCATGCTTTTGTTGTAACTCCTCAAGACTACTCTTGGCTGTGGCAGTTTCTTTCTTTGTTTTTGATGACTTGATAATATTGAGGTTTACTAGTCAGGTATTTTAGGATGCTCCTTTATTTGAACGTGTCATATGTTTCTCATGGTTATACTCATGGTGGTATGAGTTTGGGAGGAAAACCACAGAGGTCAAGTACCATATTCAGCACACGTTGTGTTGAGGTTACACATGTGTGTGATTGAGCTCTTTTGATGTTGATCGGGATGGTCTTATTAAGTAGTATTTGTCAGACTTCTTTCCCTTAAAGTTACTATTTCCCACCTTCCATAACTCCAGAAGGAATTCACTGTGCACAGCCTATATTGAGGACTGGAAGTTAGGCCCTTCCCTCTTTGAAGGTGGAATGTCCACATAAATAATTTAGAGTTCTGGAGACCTTCTGTCTTCTTCCATTTATTTATTTACTTCAGTGTGGACTTATGCATATTTGTTTTTTTACATTGTGTTATAATCCAGTACTTCATTTTTGCTCACATTGTTTCAGTTGGGAGTCTTTCAGTTGGGTCTTGGACTCTAAAACATAAAAATTTCTATGAACTACAAGAAATGTCTTCCAGGATTCTTTGAGTGAAGAAAATTGAAGTGTGAGAGTGTTTACAGTATTCTAGCATTTCTTTAGAAAAGGAGAAAGTAAAACTACAGTATTCTAGCATTTCTTTAGAAAAGGAGAAAGCAAAACTACTTGGATCTCTTGTGTGGAAAAAGACAAAATACACCTGAAATTAATGAGATTCATTACCTTCTGGGGGACAGGTGGGAGCAAGGTCAAGAGAATGGGGGAATGAAATTTCTGATGGCATCTCTTACGTAACTCTTGCCTTTTTAATCTTTAATGTTTTACATGCTAAGTTTAAAAAAGGGCAAGAAAGGATGGGAAGAAAAACAAAAACTGGAATACAAATAACAAGTGAACCTAGCTTTTTGAAATGAGTTATCTAGTCAAGGAATAAATGAACTGACCCAAGTAATTTGAATATAGGCTATAGTCTGAAAGAGCAGTTGTTGGTAGAGTTTGGGTTTTGCAGTGTATGGATCAGCAGTTCTGAAATTGGCTGCTGTGTATTTCAGGGTTGAGCAGTTTGGAAATACTGCAGATAATAGGAGACAGATTTCTCACAAACTCATGCCCATTTTTTCACCACCTTGGTTAAGCCAGCATCATCGCCCCAAAGCTCTCTGTGCTCCCTACAAGTCACACCCCAAGAAAGATAACTAGCCATTTTAAGTCCTTACAATAGAGTTCAGTTCTACCTGGGTTTATATTTGATGTAAGTGGAAATGTACCATATGTAGATACTTTTGTGGTTTACTGTTTATTAAAAGCTCGAAATTCTATCTGTTTCCTGCATTGTCCAGGAATATTAGACACATGTTAAACAAATGAAATTTCAGTTTAATCACTGGAATGAATGGATAAAGTTGTCTTAAGATGTCTTCCAGCCCTGAATTTGTAATTCTGCAGTTTAATTTCTTTGTTGACTAAACCATCATTTCGCATGCTCCTTTCTGTACTGAAATTCTACAGCGCTCTCCAGTCCTTGAAATGCAGGGCTGTTTTTTATCTCCACATGATCCTAACTTGCTGTGCTTTTATCATTCTTCCTGTGTTTTATAGTTCTTCTATGGTCTTCGAAGCCGAATGTCATTTCCTTAGCCATCAGTATCTACAGGCTGCTTCTGATCTACTGGCCTGTTTTGCCTACGTTTGTCAGCAAGACTTAGGTTATCTACAGTTAAAATACAGAATTTAGAAGAGCTGTTTTCTTCAAAGCTATGTGGAACCCTTTAATGTTATTTTTTCTGATTTATAAAAGTAATGTGTAAGTAATACATGTCTTTGGAAATAGTGTTTAAAAAAGCCTAAGAAAGTGCAAAGTAAATAAAACTACTTTTTTCTCTACCACCCCAAAATAAGCTCATTAACAATTGGCTTTATCAGGCTTTTTTTTTTTTTTTAATTTTCATGGTTTTCCTTTTTTTTTTTTAATTTGGTCTTCTGTTAGCGTGTTCAAATGCCCACATCTTTTCCATCCTGAGAAAATGAATACATAAAATCCCTTTGTAATCCCAGTTGTCTGGTAGCCTTCATTGCTTTTGTTGGTGTGAGCTATTAAAATAATACTTTCTCTTGTACTGGGGCTGGGGCTCACCTAGCACTTACGAGGCCCTGGGTTCAATCCTCAGCACCACATAAGAATAAATAAAATAAAGATATTGTGTCCAACTACAACTAATAAATAAATAAATAAATAAGTATTAAAAAATAATAATAATGCTTTTTCTTCAGTTTGGCTTCTGCCTTCACTACGGTGCTAGGGTCACTAGTGACTGCACAGTTGTTAGTTTCACAGGGCCTTTCCGTTGTTTCCTCACTCTTCCAGGCTGGTTTGCTTCCTTATCAAAATGTGCTTTTCCAGGCTTGTACCATACTTCTGTCTTCTGTGGTCTTCCTTCTGTTTCTTTGGCCACTCTTCTGTCTCCTTGGCAGTCTCCCCTCTATTCTTGCCCTGTTTTTCTCCTATACCTCCTGGAAAAATTCATTCACTCCCATGATCTCAGAGACTAATATCTCTAGCTCAGATTTTTTTCCCCCTGAATTACACGTCCGTTTATCTCGACTCTAGTGGACTTAAATGTTGTGCAAATAAACTCAATAATGTCCAAACCCAAGCTCATCTTACCTCTTATTTAAAATCTCTTTCTGTCTTCATGACATTTCCTTGTTCAAGCCAGAAGCCAGTGTCATCTTTAATTTGTCCATCAGCCTCACCTATCATGTGAACTTACCAGGTGTTGCCCAATTCTTGAATCATTGTTTTCTATTGCCCATGCCACCAACATAATCCATGACCACAGTGTCTGATTAGGACTTTGATCTGGTCTCCTGTTTTTCATCTCTAAATCTACTTTTCATGCTGCATCTGGAGTGGTTTTTCAAAAATAAGTTTATTGCTCTCTTTAAATGACTCCCTTTGCCTGAGAATTTTTTTGTTTTTGAGCTTTAGTCTTCATAAAACCCATCCATAGGTAACTCTTGGAATCCACCTCTCTCCCATGACTTCTCCCCACCTTCCTAATGTTTTCTGTATGTGCTGGAGAATATTATTTCCTCTAAGCCTTTGTAGTTGCCTTTGCTCACCTTAGAGCATTCTCACTGTCTCTGCTTAACCATTTCCTGAGCCAGGTTTTATCATTCTCCAGGTTTTCTTCAGCTTGGTTGGGCCATTTCCTCTCTGTTTTCTCCTTTCCTGGCCTAGGTTATCGTATCACAGTCACTATATTCCATGCACATTCATAAAGCATCTCCTGCTTCATGGCAATTCTTTGGGTTTCAGGACTCCTTTACATTCTTGAACATTACTGGGGCCTCCAACAAGCTTTTTACTTAGGTGGGTAATACCTATCAGTATTTACTGAATTATAAATTAAAGTTGATAAATTTAAAAATTACTTAAAAATAGACTGTTTCACATTAGCACTAATTTTCATAAAAATTTTATTATTCAATGAAAGAAAGTGAAAAGGATGACATTACATGTGCATTTTTACCATTCTCTTATGTCTGTATTAATAAAATACAGCTGGCTTCTCCTATCTGGCCTGTATGTTCAATCTCTTGTGACAGACTTCATGGAGCCCCAGGAAAAGTTCTGTACCCTTGTGAGAAGTTGAAAATGAAAGAAAAAAGAAGGTCCTAGAATCATTAGGAAAATAGTTTTGTATCTGTACATCTCCAGAAAAGGTCTTGCAAGTTCCTCAGTGTCTCTGGACTAGACTACTATTTTATGGCAATTGCTTCATGTTTTTCTTCCCTCTTCCTGTGTGCTAAGATGGGGCCAAGAACGTTCTTGCTCAGTCTCTGGGACATAGTTCTCCACGTTAAAGATTTTCAGTTGTCTCCTGATTGACTCACTTATTCAATGATCAGTTGGTTTGGCTCTCTAGAAGTAGATACCAGGCACCAGAGACAGCTGCCCTGTGTTGTGTATACAATAGAATTGCAATTCACAGGCATTTTTATACCAGTTTCACTGGGGCATTGGGCTTAACCTTTTTCACATGATGTCACAAGAGTATAATTTCTTCTTTGGGCTTAATGTTGAGGTGAAAGGAAGCATATTAGTGCTTATATGTGGGATGATATGAACAAATGTGCACTAAACTGAAATATTATCTTACATTCTACGTGTCTAATTTTTTTTTTTGCTACATGTTTATTATTAGAAGGGGTGAAAATGCATTGTCTCTGTTTATTTGTTGCCAAAGACGTAGTTTGAGAAAATACACAGGAAATATTTATTCTGAAAAGGCCATTAGGTAACAAATAGGAGATGTTATACTATCTTTAAATGTTTGCCAGAAAGATTCTTGACCATTTATTCATTGTGGACCTGAAAAATGCTTATAAAGTGGCAGTGAGGAGAAAAAAGAAAGAGTAGTAGGCATAGCTTGCTAATTATGTGCTGTCTGGTTTCCATGAAAGCCATAATTAGAAAGAGAAGGGGGAAATGTGCTTACTACAAACACAAGTTCAGCATTTATGGCCTGTCATTATAGCAGATGGCTGTGCTATCTGACCCACCCTTAAAAGTTGTGATGTGTAAACACTAATTATGGTCCTACTGAAATTCAGATCCTTCCTCTTATCCTGCTTTACAGCACTGTTACTTTTTGCCTTCAGTCATAGGATTTGAAACCAGGAGGAATTTTTTGTTGTTGTTTTGTTTTTTCAACAAAGCAGACTTAGATTTCCTTTTATTATAAACTAGTGGCTTATTTGTATGTCTTATACTGTGGGTCGTGTAATGATAGTGTGTGTCTCTGATGTATTTTGGTGACATTTTGAATGGAGGCAAATGAGGATATGCTCTGGCACTAAGCATTTTATTAAATAATTACTCTTAAGGGACAGAGTGCTTGCTAGTGAAGTCACTACTTATTTCACTGTAGGCACACTGCAGCTTGACAGCAGTCCCTGTCTTAGAGAATGGATTGCTGTGAGCTTTTAATGTGTCCCTTCAGGAAAGGGGTATGAGGTGTTAAACTTTGACGCTCTGTCTATGTGAGGTTTTGATGGGCTAGGAGACTTTTCTGTTATCTAGGTAAAGACCTTTGTTTCATTCCACCTATGGAGCATTTTTTTCTTCTAGGTAGCAAGGGCCAGGATAAGACTGTTTATATATTTGGTACATTTAACTATTATTTATTTGATTCTTTACAAAGGAACACAGTAAATTCAATTCCATAAGAATTAAATTCTGTGTGCCAGAGACCTTGGCATATTATGGGATGAATCTTTTACCCCTTTTCTTCCTTTTAGCACAACATTCTGAAATTTTTTGGTCATTGTAACGCTCTTGATCGGGAGATGAGAAAATGCTTGAAGAATGAGGTAAGAAGAATGTCAAAGGCTGGAAGTACTTGAATAACAGAACATGTAAAATATTATGTGTTGTTAACATTATTAAAATGTCCTTCAGTTTTGGTCTAACAGAACATTTGTATGTATGACCACCCATTGAAAACCCAGAGGAAAAATGAAAGCCTGCTTTGGGGACGGTTTAGAACACTGCTGTCTTTTTGACAAACACACACACACACACACACACACACACATACACATGAAAACTTTCTGTTTTCCTGGAGAATTCAAGTTGGATCAATTTTAAGATTTAAGAAAGTTGAGTCTCTGATCAGACTTAGTTGCATCAATCAATTAGCCCTTGATCAGCAGATGACTGAACTCTCTGGGCCTGTTTCCTTACATAAAGGAAACAGCTTTAAAGTCCTGAATTTCTTCATAATTATGCTGTACAAGTCAAAGGGCTCTTATTGGACTTATTTGGGAAGGTGTCATCTTAAGTTAACTTAGTTAACTTACATTTAAGTTATGACTTGGCTTTGGGCAAATAGCCAAAATACCTAATTTGTTGTCTATTTCCTGGAACTGCTAACCAAGCAGAGGGCATTTCAAACCTTTAAAAAGAAATTTAATTCCATTTGTAGTCTGCATTTCAGGTTTTTATGTTCGGAACCTTTAAAAACATGTAATGACTAAAAATATATATGTATGTATACATACATAATTATGAATATGTGTACATATACACACATAATATAGACAAAAAAATCTGTTCCAATTTTCATTTTCTGTATTTCAAACTTATTTTCTTTTTTCATCTAGTCTCAGATGGAAAGGTTGTAATGTTTGAAACTGCCCAGCATTTATCTTTCTTCTTTTTGCATATTTTCTACTCTGGGTTTTTTGTTTGTTTGTTTTGTTTTTGCTTCTTAAAATCTCTGTTTCAAGCTGGGCCCCGTGGTACAGGCCCATAATACCAGCAGCTTGGGAGGCCGAGGTAGGAGGATCACAAATTCAAGACCAGCCTCAGCAACTTAGCAAGGCCCTAAGCAACTTAGCGAGACCCTGTCTCCAAATAAAATATAAAAAAGGGCTGGGTATGTGGCTCAGTGGTAGAGCATCCCTCAGTTCAACCCCAGGTCCAACAAAAAGAAAAAAGAATTCCTGTTTCAGTGTGACATTATCATTACTATTTGAAGAACTTCCTGGAGTTCTGTATTAAGGGTGATAATTTTCTTTGTGTGCACAAATATGTATATTAGTGTTTTTAAATGATTGTTTCCTTTTGTAGTGGGGATCAAACCCACGGCCTTGCACATGCTAGACAAGTGCTATGCCACTGAGCTACAGTCCTACCACCCCCAATGACCCCCCCCCCCCTTTGAGACAAGGTCTAACTAAGTCACCTGGACTGACCTTGAACTTGTATTTCTCATGCCTCAGTCTCCTAAGTAGCTAGAATTAGAGGTGTGTGTGACCACAACTGGCTTTTAAAATGATTGTTTTGGAAAGATGTTTTCCTTCATTTATAAAAGCTAGTTTGTATGGAAACGAAATCTAGGACTAACTTAATAATAAACTTATGAACAACCCATACTATTTTATTGATATAGCTGGTGTGGTGGTGGTATTTTTACATGTTTTCAATTGTACGGCTTTTTCCTATGTTTAAATTTTTTTTCCTCCAAATAGTTTAATAATTTTGCTGTGGTGATTAGAACTTGATGCGACTTTTTTCCCCTTGTTGATCCTGAGCTCTGTCAGTGACTATTTGATAAAATGTTGTAGATATTTTGTGTTTTCTTTTTCTTTTGGGTGGAAAAGGATTAAATAGGATTTAATCCTGTACCAGGATTAAACAACTCAGGGGCACTCAACCACTGAGCCACATCCCCAGCCCTATTTTGTATTTTATTTAAAGATAGGGTCTCACTGAGTTGCTCCTTGCTTTTGCTGAGGCTTGCTTTGAACTCATGATCCTCCTGCCTTAGCCTTCCTAGCCGCTGGATTACAAGTGTGTGCCACTGTGCCTGGCTTTGTGTTTCCTTTTTTTACTCCCATCTGCTACTTTATTTATTTCTGGTGTTGAGGATTGAACTTATGCCTCACTCTTGCTAGGTGAACACTCTACCACTGAGCTACAACCCCAGCCCCATATTGTTTTTTCATGTAGCTTTCATGACTTATTTTCTAAGTCTTCTATGTACTTTCTAAAAAATTATTTTTTATTTTTATTATTATTTTTTTAGTTACAGGTGGGTACAATAACCTTTATGTATTTATTTATTTTTTACGTGATGCTAAGGATTGAACCCAGTGCCTCACACGTGCTAGGCGAGTGCTTGCTGAGTCACAACCCCATGCCCTTCTGTGTACCTTTATATTGCTTCATTACCTACTTTATAAGTGCTTTTCTGTCTGGCCTTTCATACTCTAATCCTCTGAAACTATGGTCTTTTATTTCCTCTCTACTTAAATGCTAACTTCAGATGCTTTCCTCCTACCTTTCCCTTCGTGAGTCATGGAAATACTTCATTCCACGAAGCTTTTAGCTAGAAAAAGGGCTGGGTGTTTCTTTCTGAGCCTCTCTTTGCTGTTTTCTTACTGTTTTTGTTCTTTCTATTGAAATAATCACTGATATTACTTTTGCATCATTATCTTTGCCCTGCGTAATTGTTTTGTTTTTTGGGGGTTATCCTGTTTGTGTCATTTGATGGGGCTTTGTAAATGACTAAATGACTTCATAGTCATTTCTTTTAATTCTATGGAGATATCTCAGACATATATTTTAATATAATTTGCTCTGTAACACATTTAGTGGGCCTATGACAAACTACTGTTCTGAAGACTTATCTACCCTTAAGAACCTCCTCCTATCTTGATTGCCAGAGACAGTCCAGTATCAAGTTCTATGCTTAGAGTCTGTACCTCCATGTTTATTTTTGATTGGCTCCTCCCAATAATCTTATGAGGAAATTTAATGTTTGACAGATGAAAAGAATGATTTTTGTTGAAAGGACTGTGATTCTGTGATTCATCTATAATTTGATTTAGCCTTTTGATGAGGAAGGCAAAAACTATCATTCAAAAAGATTTGTAGAATCCTTCAATGAAAATCTTTGATGGAGAAAAATTCTTAAAAGATTTTCTAGCCTAGCTCCTTATATTTGAGATTACTGGCCCAGAAAAGTGAAGTAACTCTTCATGAATCCCCATATTTTAAAAACTGTTCAAGAATAGGGGAAGGGTTCCAGTCAAGTCCTTGATTAACTCTGTCACTAATCTTTAGTTTCTGTGGCCTCTGTTTCCATATCTCTGGCTCCTAGAAGATTTTGATGTTCAATTATTCACATATACTCACATTTTTTTTTCCTGTTTGAATTTACTTTAACTTTTCCTCTTCTGCCCAGGGGGAAATATTGATTCTCCTTTAAAATATGTTTATATTTCTGTGTATGTTGTAAGCATTAAATATATACATATAAAACACTATATTCAGGTTTTTGTGTTCTAAACATAGGTTAATAACCATTTATTTGAGAAAATCTTTAAGTGCCTGGCTCTGTGTTTTCTGTTATTCATTACAGTACTAGCATGGAAATGTTCAAGGTGAAAATTGCATTTTAATCCAAGTTGATTATGGAAATTTAGGATTTAGGGAGAATCAAGTTTGATGATTGTTCATGATGAAGAATCTTAGGAAGTTCAGCTGGCTATAAATTTCCATATGAGTCTATAGGATAATGTGGCTGCAAAGAGCCATTGATTCTTAGTAATACTTAGAGAAATGTACTGTATGACTAGGACATAAGAACTAGGTTCATTATACCATGTCTGTCAGACTATGTCTAGTAGGATATTGTGTTTAATTCTAGTGATTTTTAAATATAAAAGTGAGTTGATGTTATAGTGGGGTATAAAATAAAAGTCATTTTACAGATGTTAGAAGACAGAAGCAATGTGCTGTGGAACAGTTGTAGAAACCCATGGTGTTCAGCCTGAAGAAAAGGAGTGGGTCATAATTCATCAGTTATTTGAATATAGCAGGCAAGAAGAAACAGAAGACAACAGGAGAGATTACAGGGATATACTTTTTGGTTCAATATGAAAACTTTGAATCAAGTAGAACTGTCCAACAGTTAAACAGGCCACCTCTCAAGGTGGTGTGCCCCTCTTAACTAGATGTGTTTAGCAGAGTTATAGGACTTCCTGGTCTGTGGACTCTTGGAGAACAGGGACAGAACTCATCCATCTGAAATATTGAATATTGAATTCTTATTTTGGGAGGCAGTCGATTCAGCAACTACCTGTTAGGATGTAAGTGCTACCCTGTATAGAATGAGTGTTGTACTAAATGTCTCAGATTCAGTAAAATTTTAAAAAAATACAATTAAAAAAATTTTAGTAATAGCATTTATTATTTGGCTTATCTGGCATAAATGGTGACATCATCTCCCATCTCTTCTCTCCCTTTTTCCTTCCAGTACATGGAAAAGAGGACCAGGAGCAGGGAGCATGGCAATGCAATGCGAAAAAGACTTTTCAGTCCTCTGGAGGAATCAGAAAAATAATTTACATTTTTTTGGGATATCTTGGCTGAGAGAAGACCTGAGGACTGTTGATTGATAGCCAAAAGAATCTTATCTCATTTGTTGTCCAGAATCTTTGAACAGAGAGTGATCATTGAAGAGTCAAACCATGGAGAAATATGAAAAACTAGATTCTGAGCATTTGAGCAGAGCCTTCAGTACTATCAACTCCCAACAAGCCCGACTTCCTCAATGTTTTTGATCTCTGTTGCATCTGTGTAGTGTTTGAATAACCTATCTCCTTCAATAAAGTAATTCAAATATTTTTTTTTCTCCTTTCTTTTAGACTTTACTAGAATTAGCACAAAATGGAGCCAAGAGACTTCCCTTTAAAGCAACATGGCAATGGTGAAGATTAAACATTGATGACATAACCTGGGGCAAGAATAATTCTGGGAAAATCCCAGATGTGTTAACTATACAGAAACATTCCAATTTTATTGTTTTTGAACAGTAATTTTCTGGGGGACGTGGCTCAGTATAGAGCCCTTGTCTTACATGTGCGAGTTCAATCCTTGGTACTGAAAAAAAGTCATTTTATGAAAATGTTCATACTTGACCCCTCTGATGATAGATTGAAAATATTTGAAAAAGTTGCATCAGTATTGAACATGTGCAGACTATTTTCCTATCTTTTTCTAAACAATACAGTATAATACCTATTTACATAGCATTTACATTTCATTACGTAATGTAAGTAATCTAGAGATGATTAAAAGTATACAGGAGGATGCATGTAGGTTCTATGTAAACGCTATGCCATGAAAGGACTGGAACATCTGTGGCTTTGGGTATCCAAAGGGATCTTGGAACCAGTGCCCCCTCAGACACCATGGAACAACCCTAATGAACATTGATAAGATTGCATCTGGGTAGGATTTAAATCTTGGACTTGGCTTCCTCATTTGGTTGAATGTACCCACTGTGGGTGCCAGTTACTCCTGGGTCTTGACCTTAGAACAGCATGTCTCCTTTGTGCTACATATAGGGTTCTTCACACATTCAGTTCTATCAGTTATCTTAGTGTTCCTTCCGCCAGTTGTTTTCTGAGACGAGTGATAGTTTCGAAGTTGGCAACTCCCAGTCATGGTGCAGTAGGGGCTTGGTCTTCTCAGGTGTCAAGGAACAAATTGGCCTGTGAGCTTCTTGCAGTGGAATTCTGTATATGATGTCTAGCATGAGGCCATGTGGTGTTTAGCAAATAATTTCCCTGTTGCAGAAGGTGTTCAGGAAGCTGGGCATACTTAGCAAGGTATTGCAGAGATTAGTAGACATTTAGTAAAGAGATGGGAAAGAACCAGAATTAATTCTTGAGGTCCAAGACAAATTTTATGGATATTTTTTGTCTCCCCATGTGTCAGTCAGTATAGATTCAGAAATGAGACATTTTACCTCCTGAGTCTTGTAGCAAACTTACAGTTGACAACTATAATCATGAAAGTTCCATGATAAGGGAGGTGGCATAAGAAAACATAGAAAGGGTACTGAACGCCCAGCCTTCAGGAAGATGGAGCCATTCCAAGAAAGCTAGTTAGCAAAGGTGATCTTTGACAAACATGACAATGGAATGAATACCTTCTGAGAATTTCAGCCATTCGGCATGACTGGAAATATGTGTGTGGGGGGGGCTAATGATGAAAGATCATAAACAGCTTTGAATTCTCTTGAGACTTTATCTTCAATGTTGGTGTGACTGGTTGCAGATGGTAATGTGATTAGGCATTTGGAGAGAGGGATTAGTTGGATGTTTCAATTTGTATTTTGGTAAGATTTTTCTGGTTATAATTTGAGGAATAAAATGGAGAGCAAGACAGATTACGTCAAGGGAGACCAATTACAATTTTGTTCTAAGGAATGAAAACCTGAATTAAAGAAGTGGCTTTCATGATCTATAGGAATGACTAGTCAGGCATGCTTGTGCATGTCTGTAATTTCAGCTGTTTGGGAGGCTGAGGCATGAAGATCACAAGTTTGAGCCCAGCCTCAACAATTTAGCAAGACCCTGTCTCAAAAAAGTAAAATATATAAAGGACTGGGGAAGTATCTCAGTGGGAGAGTGCTGTTGGCTCTATTTCAGCTATATTTCTGCTCCATGAGTCCAAAGTAACCAGTGATCTCTTAATGAATGTTTATGACTGGACTGACTCTCCAAAAACAACAGAGAAGAGAAAAAAGGCACTTATCTATAGCATTTGCCAATGTCCGTGGTGTAAATACTCCCACTATGGTGGATTTCAAACTACTAGCCTGAAGGTGAAGCTGGGAAGAGATGTAGCCAGTAGACTTTTCTGAGCTGGCAGAAAAGGCCCTGCAGAAGGAACTGCAGTGCATCAAATCAGTTGATTTCCCCTATTAGTCATCTTTCCTACCTCGAGTGTTTTGTCTGTTGAAAGTATCTGTAATCTGTGGGGTACACTGCAATGGGGTGGTATGATTTTTGACGACCCAAGCAGCTGAAGTCCAGGCTCCTGGGGCAAGTCATCTTATGAGGAATGAAGGACCTTGTGCCAGGTAGATTTAGGAAGGAAATGGGACCAGCTTGTGCCATCATGGTTGTATTTGTGCTTGGGAGCAGAGATCAGATAGATGCCTCTTGCACTACCTACCACCCTCATGATCACATAGATTGCAGCCATCTTAAAGATTGAACCTTATAAGAGTGTTGGACTCTCTGTAAGTTACCAACCTGTGTGACTCTGCAGGGTGCTCAGCCTCTCAGGATTTCATGTCTTAATTTTTAAAATGAAATTGTTGAACTAGTTTATTTGTTTGCCGTAGAATCCATAGGACCTCAGGTCTAAGCACTAAATATCAGTAGGGGTAATGTTCTTTTTTGAACTACATCCCCAGCCCAAGTAACATTCTTTTGCCATAGAACATTTTGTGATTGTGAGAGTAATAGAATCTGGGTGTTTGGTGGTTTTGTATTGCTTCTCTTTCCATCTAGGACTCAGCTTACTGTGCCTGCATCTCTTACAACTGTAGGAACCAGTTTACTAACTGGAAAATAGACTCTGAGAAGTGTTGAGACTGAGGTTCACTGGAACTCCAGAGTCCTGCTTAGGACCGCTCTTCCTGGTGGTGGCTGGTCTTCCTCTGGACCACCCTTAGTACTTCCAGGGAAGACATGCCCTACCCTCTAAGCCCAGCATGTGACTTTTAAGGTTTTACTCTTTGATAATTCCATCCGATCCTGACTCTTATAGAATAAAGTTACATATTCAAGGCTGTGGCATTATGAATTGCATCTACCCATCCAGTTTCCTCTAAGCAGAAAATTTGAGGAAGAGGAAAAAATGCAGTGGAGCAGGAACATCAGGAACAGGGAGAGGGCAGGGTCAAATCCCACCTTGAAAACCATAGGAAGGACCCTGCATGTTATTTGGAGGGCAATGGAAACCCATTAGGAGTTTTTAAGTAGAGATTGGCTATGATTTATTTATATAGGCACACTGGGGATTAAGGGATTAAACCCAGGGGCACTTTACCACTGAGCCACATCCCCAGTCCTTTTTTTTTTTTTTTTTGGATATAAGAGCATGTGTCTGATATTTAATCAAGGAATAAATATTTCAAATTCCTTTTTTTAATATTTATTTCTTTAGGTGTAGATGGACACAACACAATACCTTTATTTTTATGTGGTGCTGAGGATCGAACCCTGGCCCTGCCCATGCTAGGCGAGCGCTCCACCACTGAGCCACAATCCCACCCCCTCAAATTCTTAAAGCTGTTAATCCAGTCCTTTATTTTTTATTTTGAGACAGTCTCACTAAATTGCTGAGACTGGCCTTGAACTTGCAATCCTCCTGCCTCAAGCTCCTGTGTCACTGGGATTATAGGCATGTGCCACCACATCAGACTTTCATTTATTCACATATTTTAAAGTTCATTCTGGTTACTGGGTAAAGAATGGTTATGCTTAGGGGCTGGGGTTGTGGCTCAGTGGTACAGCGCTTGCTGAGCATGTTTGAGGCACTGGGTTTGAACCTGAGCATCGCTTAAAAAAAGAAAGAAAGAAAGATATTGGGTCCATCCATATCTAAAAAAGAAGAAAAAAAAGAATGATTAAGCTTAAGCCAATTCAACCCAGTGATAATACCTGTCACATAGAGTAACAGAATTTGTTGAAATGTATGTAATGGCAAATTATCAGACACAAAGTAAGGGCCCTTTTAATTTTTGTATTCTAAGTGTATTCAAATAGGGGTATTAAACACTTCTCCCACACTTTGGTGGGATGCACCAAATCACTTGAGATGTCTTATCTGGATATGGCTCCTGCTAACTGGTGGAGGGATCAGGGGTGTAGGGCTTGGTAGGAGGTAGAAAGAAGGGCCAGGATACTGTGAGCCCCTGGAACTCATGCCAACCTGACCTATTCCCTTGCTGCCTGTACATCCTGCCTTTCCACAGAGGAAATCAGTCCCCAGATGTGAGTATATCTTTCCCTTCTCATACTACCTCTGGCTTGAGTCATTTTTAGTCTTACCAATTTTCTCAAGCTTACTGTGAATGAGACTGGAATCTCTGTCCTCTCTAGAGTAAGCGTACTCTCCTGAGGATTTCCAAATATTTTTAAAACATTTCCACTTGCTGTAGAAGTCTAAGGGAGACTTAGAGGGAGATTGGAGTAGGGAGGAGCAGAGGTCCTCTGTCTCTTACCTTTATCAAGCACCTGAAGCTGTGCTGAGTGCTGGTAGGACACTGATGAATGAGATGGACACAGTGCAAATGAGTGCTTAGGTCAGGAAGTGCCACCCAACACTGCCTAAGAAGTCTGGCTCTGGCTTTTCTTCTGGGGGCGGTGGGAAGGCATTGCAGGGTCTGTGCAGAATGAAGAGTGAAGGAATAGATTTCCTTCACTTGTCAACTTCTGGTGCCCTCAGGTCATAAGGAACAGTCTCTTGGAAATTGGAGAGCTCAAGCCAAGGTTTTCCTGAGAAATCTAATTTTGTGGAACACTGTGGGCCTGATGCTCTGGTCACAACAAATTTATTAATGCCTTATTGCAAGAAGTGCTACACAATTTTATTTAAGCATAAAGATAGAAAGTTGAGCTGTTTTTGACCCCTCATAAATGGAGTTTAAAATCGGGTTAATCTTCATAGAGTATTCTGCTGAAAGCCACACGATAGTTTTCCCAGGAAAGAACTTGGGTGAACCAAATGAGAAATTACACATTGACCTGCCTGGTGATCAGACCAGAGACCATTCTGTGCTTGGCATAAAAACCCTAAAATAAGTTGCACAGTCACAAGGGGC